CAGACAAACTGGCTGCAACGCGTGAAAAAAGACCGGCGGCTGTGATTATATATATATATTCCCCGCCTTCACATGTTACTGCAATCATGTTGCTGGATGTTGCTGGTGTATGTTACCATGTTTTGCCACGGGTGCGATCAAAGCTCATTACATCTAATGACTCTGAGAATCATAAAAGCCAGCCCAAAGAGTCTGGCAAAGCCAGCAGAAGCACGACACCGGTGGATGTAGCACAACCACGACAGGTCCGACAGATGAAATCACCAGCAGGCGAGCCTATCACGGGTGCCCGCACCAAAAGGATCGAGCCCTGCTGAAACATCGATCAATCCCCGGAGGTCACTGGGAAGGGACCTGAACTACCTGGATCTTGATAAAGGTGCCGGCAGCATCCCTTGCTGGGGGACCATGTGTTTCGGGACTTTGAGCGGTGAGTAGTTTTTCCCGATGCGTTGCGTTTGAATCAAATCATCTATCGATGACTCATGACTATAAGGATGTCTAAGTACATCCAAGTACCATGTATCCATGTACCATGTGCTAACAACGGCACATGTCATCCATGTCTTGCATCTAACACCGAGGTCCTTGAATGACTCCTGGAACCGAAGTCGGAGCAGCCTCAAAGGCGCAGCCTCACATGTCGGCTTCATGGGTGTTTGCTGCAGCTTTTGCAGGTGTTCTGTTCGATGTTGAGCAACACATGCGCCACTCCTTCGCCCTCACTTCGGCCCGGCCGATGGCCACCGGAGGTATTACCCAAGAGCTGTCCAAAGGGCGGTTGCTGGCCGGTCGTCGCAGTAGGGTCGACTCCTAGGGTTGGATGGACTGTTTTTGTTCGAGATCTTCAACCGAGGTATCCCAGGCTGTTGAACCAATTTGGGTATTTCTTTTGTATGTGTCATTGATATTTGATATTTGTTTCAGGTGTTTCAACTGAGATGTTAATGTTGCGTCACTTGTGCGGACATGCAGCGTAGCTTTACAAGCATGCGGAGCGAGCGAAGCTGGCAGGGAGATCCAACACCTCGATGAATGTCTCGATGAATTTCCTTCAGAAGGCATTGCTGATTGGAACCCTAATTTAAAAGGTTCTCAGAGTCTCTGAACAAACATCTACATAAGTCCCTTCAAAAGTCCCTTCGAATCAAGTCAGATTTTGGAGTTTTGAGTTGATCGCATGATCCTTGGTACATCCTTGATACCAGCAGAGAATCTCAAAGATTGCCGCCCCCTTCCCCACCGGTCCAGGAATCTCCGGTCCTATATAGATGTCCCTGTTTTCATGAGAAGTTCCGCAGATCCACTGATCCACGGCTCCTGAAATCCACTAGAATCCACTCACCTGTCCGAAATCCGATGGACGGATTCGATGCAAGCGCTGGTGCGCGGTACTCGAAGATATCCATGAAATCTCCCAAGATGTTTCACTCTGTAGGAAACCAGCACAAAAAACAAACAGCATGCGAAAAGTATCTCACATCAATTCTCCAACAGCGCTGGTGCTGTTGGAATCCCACTACTGGCACTGCTCCCGGTTCGCTAAAGGCTTTTCTTTGACAAAATCCATCTCGCGATGGGTCTGAACAAACAACAATGGAAGCACTTCCAAATCACTGAAATTCTGCGGGTTCACATGGATTCGGCGTTCTTTGATTTGCTGCCTCAACACAATCCTCTCCGAAGAGACTTTATGGTTTCGCTCTTGTCAAGTCTTGGCAGTGGTTCAGAGGGTTATATTACAAGTGACATTTTCGCTTCCCACCCTCCAGCAGTATGCCCTGGAATCCAGTCCTTGCAGAATGACTACGAGCAGCAGGCGCAATGGAACAGCAAGTAGCTTGGCTGAAGGCGAGCAGCGATGTGGTGGGATTATTTGTTTTCTCTTTCAGCTTCTTTCAGCCCAATTCCTTTCTTTCCCTATCCCAGGTCCTTTGGAGTATTTTTTAAATGACCGACGCAGACTAAAAGCTTGCTTTTGGTCTTTGACATCACAAAGCATCAACGCTAAACATATTTTTTAAACATAACAACTCAAACCATGCTGAAGTTCTTCCAAGCTCAGGTGGAGTTTTAAGCGCCGTCGGGATGGAGGTTTCTGGGCGAAGCCACTTGGGCAGATCAAGATGATCAAGTGGAACAGATCATCCACCAGGCAGTATTAGGGACCAGGTGGAGGTCAGTACAATCAACAGTGAAGTTAGCTTTCTTTCCACATCTATCAGATTTACCTGGAAGATCCATATTTGATATATATATATATATTTGCACTCAACAGCAAACAAGTCACTGTACATCTATCTCCAGCTGCTTGCTGTACATCGGGATGTGAGATCGGACCCGGCTGTTCTTGGCACTTCCTTGGAAGCTTCACACTTCTTTCAGCCGGCATTGGGCTAAAAGCGCCAGAGCCGCAGGCTGATGACAACTCACCCCACCTCAAACAGATTATATATGAGAATGTCCAGTCTGTGATTATGCTTCTTTCAGACTCCAACGTCTCTCAGATGCACCACCCTCTCCATTCTCCCATGTGCAGGGCTTTGACGTATCTCTTTTGGGCTTTGTCAAAGCTCCTGTAGCTGCACAATCCAAGGTGAGATCTCCATTCTTTGCCTTTCTGCCTGAGCGAGGATGATATGTGAGCTTGTTTGAACAGATGAGGACCACCCAGTGTGACACTAAGTAGAAGCAAAGGGATAAGCTGTCAAGCCCATCAACTTAGACAACGAGAAACAGATAGAACCAGTAAGGTGCAGAATTGTTACTACAGAGCACACCCTCCGGTGTAGCTTTTTGGCATGCCAACGTGCGATAATGTGTGACATATGGGATCTATTGCGACTTGCTCAACTGGGCACCATTTTGGTGGACATTTGCGGGAATATGATGATGGCAATTATCGGACTGGACTTTTGCAGTAGAATCGCGCGGAGTGGCGGCAAATGCCAAGTGTTTCTTTCATACGGCACTTTTGCTTGGGATTGGGCTTTCCTGGTAGTTGTAGTGTTGGGGGATCGGGTTGATCATCTCCGGCCTCACATTTCACTCGTGGCAAGAAATCTCCAGTCTCCTCAAGGGAGCTGGAGGAGTAGGTCGCTTTGCTTGGCCCGTAACGACTGCGACGATGGAACTCTATTTCTTGCCGTTCCGCAGCGCCATGACCTAGTGCTCAGCCTGCGCAAGCTTTCCTGAAGATGGGTTTCCCTAAGAACATTCAAGTGGAAAAGGGGACCTTGATATTCCAACTGGGGGAGTTCCAGACATTGATGCCTTTGTGTCGTTTGGGGACACATGAAGCTCTTTTCGCAAGCTCAACTGTTGTACCTGGTTGTATTGCATGCATGATATTTAGAATATCGGTCAGTCCTAGAGTCCTGAGGTGGAGTCCGTGCACCCCTTCTGCAGAGTGGTGCCCTCCTCATGGGAAGAAGAGATAGGGCAGAGAGGTTACACCCAAGAAACCCTGACTGCATAGGAATCCTGGAGTAGTAGATGGAATATGGGAAAATAAAGAACATAGCAAAATATAGCAAGCTGGTCATGTTTTCGGAATGAGTCATATTCTATCTAATTACTTGAGGTTGGTTGTACACTCGTGGATCATTTTGGAGCTGGTGAAATGGAAGAAGGGAAGGTCATCCCCGTGATCCAACCCTCAGTTCCCGGCCAGTGTTGACAACTTCACTCAGCTCCGAGTACATCTCCAGGCAACAGAAGAAGCTTGCAGCTCGACAACCGCCGAACCCATTGGAGGGGTGTGATTCTAGGGGAAGCTGGGGGATTGTGGTGTTCAATAATCGAATTGCGCCACATGTTGGCACCTTTGCCGCATGTTGGCGCCTTTGCCAACCCATGTATGAAGTAAACGGATATGCGCAGCACGGCGGGCCAGGTAAGGTACATAGAGCTTGAGCCTTTGTTTTGCACATCCTGTGGTTCCAAACTACTACCAACAAAAATAGGAAAGTATTGAAAAGTACTGTCATGGTTCGATCATGTTCGATCCATTTGCTTCCTACGGGGGGGCATCTTGCCGAGAAGGTGCATTGGAAGGTGCCAAGCGGATGTGTTGCACATTGATTCCCTCGTCAAAGCAGCGAGTCCAGCAGACTGAAAGATCGACAAACGGCGTGCCGGCGGCTGTGGTGTTGCCACCAGGGAAACTCTGGTGCCTTAAGCAGTTACCCATGAGACGAACCAACATCTGGGGAATTTGGGCATCTCTGCCAATAATCCTGGGTATATACTGCTTGGTGTCCTAAGAGGTTTGAACACCGAAACCGCAGAAGTCCAATCATGGCCGTCTACTGGGCCTAGCTCGGATCGATTCAGTCGGCTGACCTGAGTACGTGACCTCCGGAACCCGACTGTGTTGCGTGGATTGGTTGGGGTGGAGCCACACAAAAAGCGAAAGGCACACGAGAGTACACACGAGTACCATCCACACAAGTAGCTGCTGGTCCAATGGGTCCATCGAACGATGTTGAGACAGCAGAAGGGTTTTGACACTTATCAAGATCACCATGAAACAAACATAAACAAACATAGAATGTCACTTCTGACCGCTTTGTCTAGGCCCTCCAAACAAAACACCATTTCTATAGAGCGGTGGAGAACAGCCTGATCAACACGTAGTATTTCATTCAGCGGGGATTTGCTCAGCAAGCAGGTGGTTGTACTCGTACCCATTGATGCTTAGCTTTAGGGTGTCGGGCGTCGTTTCCCATTCCAACATGTCCTATCTATCCTTCATCACCGTTCTAGCCTTGCTACACATGAGACTCCACATAGCCTGTTGACCTTCGTGCCCTTATGGGATTTGGTGGAAATATGTGTTGCGAAGGTTTGGTCTCTAGACTATATAAATACATCAAACCTGAAAACCCTCAAACCAGTGCTCAGTGCAAATTTCTGCTCTGGCTCTTTTGGTCTGTCTTACAAATAGGAAAAGCCTCCAACCCATGGACAACTTGTGGTTTCATTTCTTTCTTCCTACTTGGGGTCGTTGGATCATGGAAACCCATCATGGTGACTTTTTCATGGTCACCTCTTCGTTCTTTTCCTGCACGAACCCACCTTCTCTGGGTCCAACAATTCGATCGACACAGGTTCCTTCCCTTCCCTCCGAAAACCACTCTCCCACCCTGCCCGAGGCTGGGAGTCTCGATCCGGTCGGGGGAACCCCAGTGGAGCGGGGGAGGAGAGGGGAGGTGCCAAGCTGTCATGGCTCGTGGCCGAAGAGATGGTGCAATGATGCCGGACCGTGCCGACCGTGCCGTCCGACATGTTTGGGTAAGAGACTGAATGCTTGAGAGATATTGAGACATTGTCTACCAGGTCTTGATTATCTTGGATTCTTAATGGGAAAGTCACTCTCATCCCAAAGTCCTGGGATGTTCAAACACCAAAGGGCCGCTTCATTTGTTATTCTTTTGTTCAGCTGCAACTTGGTTGAAAAGCCCCTTGCTTGGAGATGTTGCAAGTCTTGTGCAGGGAAGAGGTTAATAACGTTTGATTCTTGTACAAACGACACGCACACACATGTAGATGACTTGGCCTTCAGTTCACATCAGAATTCCAAAGGATTCTCTCGTGGGTTTCTGACGGACTGATGGACTCAACAGTAAAACATCCCGGTCAATGGCAAACCAAGGCCTCTTAGATACTGGCTCCAGCTTTAGCCACCTGGATCAGTGGCCAGGATATTACACATGTGGAGTACGTAACGTAGTGTTTCTTTTCTATGCCTTGCTCGCTATCGATACCTTGGAATTACACTGACTGGTGTTCTTGACCATCCAAATGAATCCATGACACATACATGGGAGCTACTGAACGTTTCGTGCTACCGAGCTCGTAACCTTAGCCATTGGCTCTTTGCAGCCGAACATGTTGCGTCAAAAAAGAACGTGAGAGCCATGGAAGAGCCACTTGAAATTTCTGAACTCGACATTTCCTGCAAATGCATACGTACCAACATGCAACAGCAGTTGTTGAAGAGATTTTCTTAAAGGCGCCATTTCATGTTGACATGCCGACTCAGTGCGCTAGCCACTTAACTTATACTTATGCTCCTTTAGAGTCCTTGAGTTCAACAGCTTTGATACTTCAGATAAGTTGTGGCCATAGTTGTGTGTTTGTTTGTAACCTCAAGCTGAGCTTTGCATTTTTTCTGGGCTGTCAATGGCCCACCAGCGCACACCAATATGCGATCCACATATCCGGTCACAAAAGACTTTTGATTAGACTCAAGATCGATCATGGCGGTCCCTATGAGGCAGGGAGTTTCGGAGAGACAAGTGCTAACTGGCACCCTGTTTGGTAAGGAGAGACTCGTCGCCTTCTTGTTTTGCAAATCGGTGCAAAAATATCCTTGGAATGAAAGAACATTCGCTTCAGATGGCTGGTAGGAAGTGGGTTTGTGCCCAGCGTGCCTTCTATTTTAATGTATTACATACTGTTGATGGACAAAATCCTGCACCACCTCACCACTTTACCCTAGAAGGGTCGCATAGCAACCCCTGTGCCCCCTCATTCAATGTTGGCGCGACCCCTCTGAGGAGGTGGTGCAGGATTTTGGACCTTCAACTTGTTTTTGTTTTCTCACTGTGGTGGCCCCAATGTTAACAAGGGAGAACGAGGGCAGCAAGAAAAGTGTGCGCAAAGTGGTGCAGGATTTTGTCCATCAACAGTCTCGTTTCATTACTACAATCTCGTTTCAGTAATATTGCTCTACCAAGCTTGTTGTGTTAGTTTTTTGCGCCTACTTGCTGGCTAATGCAACTTTTTTGCTGCTCCGTTTGTTGTTTGCTATCCTTTGTTGGTGTTTACTATACTTGCTGTCACGTGACAAGGGATGTTGCGAGGGAAGTACACAGTGCTCGGACAGTGCTCTGACAGTGCTCAAAACAGTGCTCGGAAGTCAAAAACATGGAAAATACCAGCGATTCGGGCAGTAGCAATGCAAAACGATAGAAATTTAGAATTCTAGGCTTTTTATTGATTCATTTACCACTCCTGTGGCCATACCCACAGTATTTACAGGGTTTTGGTGCGCGGGTAGTGTCTGGAGCACTGTTGGAGCACTGTCCGGGCACTGTGGAGCACTGTGTTGCCATGTAGTCCCCGGCTGCGTTGTGTGCGCAGGAGTCAAAGCCATGGTCGCTCCAGGTTATGATGGCGCTCTACTCTGTTTGCTGTCCCCCACCCCTAGTGTCCTTCTTTGGCTCTTGTTACTGACGCTGCAACTCTTCTTCTATACGTGGCGCAACCCTCTGTCTCCGGCGTCACAAGTTTGTTCTTCCTGTGTCATTGGCTTCACAAGTTCTTTAGAATACTGTGTTGGCCCACCGCTGCTTGCTTGGCGCAACCCTGTGTCGGGTACTGTATGAGAGATCTTGTGAACAAAATAAAATGGTTCCTTCTGCAGAAAATAACTTGGTCTGAGACAATCTAGGTCATATCCGAACCACCCTTTTGGTTCGCGACTCAGAATGAAGGATAATACCGGGCATGTGCTCCAACACAATGGTGTTGGGCAAAATGTGCTTAAGAGCAGGGCGCAAAGTACTGACCACACGGGCCAGACTCGAGGCAGGTAGTTCTTCGAGTCCTCGGAAATCAAAGTTGGTCCCGTTCGCTTTTTGGGCGCTTTTGGGTCTCACACATACGCGAATTGACAAGGCAATGACCTA